AAATAAAGAGGCATCGCCCCAAGCAAGGTTACAATTCTACCAAGATATCCCGGTTCCTTCTAAAGTCTATACTTCTAACGTCTCCCCCTTAAAACTCTGAACATTTATTTACTAGTTGTTTACATTCTTTTTCCTCAATAGGAGTAAATCTGTTTACGCTATCACCCGGTTCACAATCCTCCTCTATCTTTTGAACAGGAGGAGAGGTCTACCATTTGTTTCCTGTTTATGATTGGGTTCCCGGTACCTTCTGAAGTATTTTCCTTCTCTCTCACTTCCAGTAGTCCCTTGCGTCTTAGTGGCATTATCACCTTGCTTGGAGTAAATTGATATATATATATATATATATATATTTGTGTGTGAGAGATAGATAGATAGATAGATAGATAGATAGAGAGAGAGAGAGAGAGAGAGAGAGAGAGAGAGCATGTAATTGATTTTTTATTGGTGAGATGTAACTGTAAGTTCTTTGCTGACAGTTTCTTTCCTCGCCTTTCTCACTCATGGAACTTTCTTCAGGATATTTGGTTTTCCCCCAAATTTGATCTTTAAAATTTTAAATGCAATACCAATCATTATCTACTGTCTTCTTGATTCCTCTTCTTTTATTTTTCTCGTTCCTTAATGCTTTTTTTTCACACTCAGTGACCTATTGTGTCTTAGTGGCTTCATTGCCTTTCTTGGAGGGAAATGATTAAAAAAAGAGAAGGAAAAAGTAGATTCTTCTTATTACTTTTTTCAATACTTAGGGAAGATATTTCATGTCAATTAATACTCACCAGATTTATTCACTTTTATATCGCTCGTCCGTCTTTTCCACTGAATTAGAAAACATAGCCCTTAGCACTACCAAACTAGGGCTTGAACTCACAACCGACAAAAAAGAGTTATGCTTTAACCAAATATTTAATCCATGAGGTCGTGTGTCTCTTGTATATTTGCCATATCAAATCGATTCAAAATTTCAAGAAGGTTATTGAGTACGAAGGCATACCTGAAGAAGGCCGGATAATGACTGAAACGTCGTGATTATAACAGGATAAGCACACTACTTCGTATAGCAAGGCATATGTATGTTTTTAGGCGGTAAGTCTGTGGAATATCGTTAAAAATTGTAGAAAAATATTTAATAGATTTAAATAATATCACAAAATATAATTTCTGTGCAAAATAGGATCACACGGGCTCCAAATTAAAATTTTCACATTAAAATTTTTTAACCAATCAGCGATGTTATCTCAAACGCCATTCAAGCTTTGAAAAAAAGCAGACGACGTTCCCGTCGTTTGCTATAAAAAATTGAAAGCTCACACTAGAAAATGATTAACACACCTTTCCCTCATAAAAATTGAAATGAAAAAGTGTGAAATATATTTATTAACCCTGCGTTTTAACTTCCTGTTATCCGACTTTTTTCTTGTAAATAGCGTAGAGTAAATTAATAAGTTTAATTTTTCTTTATAAATCGACCGGGGATGTAAAAAATGCTGAATACTCAAATTTTCGTATAATCTATTGAGTTTTAATTGCCCTTTGCAAATTATAATTCTCGCCTTTAAAGTAGTTCATGCAATACGAAAAATATACGAGCGAGATATATAAACAAAATTAATTGTAGCAGTATTAGTAAGACAGCATTTATTCGGCTGACTGCTGGTGGGTTGTTGGTTGATTTTGTTTAGCGGCATATCAACCTCTATGGATTATTTAATGCTAAAATTTACATATTTTGTACGTAATTTTATGCTTTCAATTACAAATATTTTGTATATAATTTTATACAGGTTATGTTTATATATATTTAGGGTTATATATTATATATATATATATATATATATATATAAATAAATAAATAAAAGAAAGAGGTTGTAAGTGGTTCCAACGAGAGGAAAGTATGTATATTAAAAAGAAGAGAGATGCCGCAAACTTTTTTGGTTGTAATGTGTTTTTTTAAGAAAAAAATATTATGCTTTATTTTCCATAATTTTATTTATTTATTTATTTTTTTGGCACTTCTCTTATATATATATTTATATATATATATATATATATATATATATATATATATATATTGTGGATCATAAAATGCATTGTTGTTAATTTTACTATAAAAAATTTATTTTTATATTTTTAGTGTTGCATTAACTGTCATTTTGCTATAAGATGTATTGTTGCTTATTTTATTATAAAAATGTACAGTTGATTTTTTTTTTTTTTGTGGGGGTGTCACATAGCTGAGACCCTAACACGGGCTACCACCCGGGATCAGGGTAGACATGGGAACAACAGCAATTCATAGATGGTTCCGGTTCCTCAAAACCTCCAATCTCTCGTTCAGAAGCCTGGCTGCTGGATGTAGTCTATCGTCATACCCAGGACTATAAAAATGATTATGAGAAACGAGTTGAGTGTTATGAAGATTTTCTAAGCGTAGCTTTGATGTGACAGAAGGGCGAAAGTATGGTGCACCCAGTAAGAATCGAACCCACTACTCAGTCGTAATTGTTCTACTAGACAAATTTTCTAAAGATTGCACCACGTCAAGGTGCCCAATGGTAACGGTATTGGTAATAGTAATATTAGTCGTTGCGTTATAAGGAAACATTCAGAGTTCATTAACCAAGCAAGCAATGCCACTGGACTTAAGCTTTTCTTCTCTTCCTTGTATTTTTGCTATTTTTTCTCTTTAATCAATTCACCTCAAGCAAGGCGATAACGCCACTAAGATCCTTTGACTCTATACTGACGCATTCATTTCTTTCTGTTGTAAAAAGAAAAACAAAACATTTTCGCTGAACTTTGTTTGCGAGGAACTTTGTAACTTGTTTCTTTCAACCTGAACGAAAACAAAGATTATTTTTATACTCAATAATAAAATTATTTAAATTTGTAGAGCTTTCTTTGAAGATTATTTCGTTTCTTCGCTAATCACATTTTTTTCTCTACAATCTCTTCAGGACTTGATCAATCACGGCTTTCCACAACTTGTAGGTCTAAGCAACGTTTGTTTCCTTAATGGCCTTCCCAGCTTCTGCTCTGCCTTTCAATTGCACAAACTCATTAGGATTGTTCTTCTGCTCATCTTGCCTTCAATATATCTTGTGAGTGTCAAATTCTGCAAGCCCCCTTTTCTCATTATATGTTTCCCAAATGTCAACTGTTTTTTTCTTATTTCATGCAAAAGTACCCATTTTGTTTCCATCTTCCTTAAATCTTCGTCGTCGCTCACATGCTTCTTCCATGGTATTCTCAGTATCCTTCTGTAGAACGTATGCATGGCTTCAAGTTTCTTCTCCCTCTGTGAGGAAATTGCTCACCATTCACCGCCATGTATGAGGATTGTTATTACATAATAATTGAGCATTCTTTTCGATGTCACATTTCCTATCGTATCCTCGTCTCAAAATGTTTGCATAAATGTAATTGTTCAATATTTACTGATTTTGATCACCACGAAAAACAAACTTTTGTGATGTCAACGAATACCCGTTGTCACTTTCGTAATGCTCGTTGTAGTAGAGACTTTGTAATTGCCGATACAACTATAGTACGCCGTTGAACAATACTGGTGTTAGACGCCTTCGAATAGCAATCGCACAAATAGTACTTGCTCGATAATACTCTCTCGAATAGTAATCCGTATAGTGATCCAAATCGAGAAATAGTATAGTGAATAGAGTAGAGAATAGCGGTTCGTATAGTATTAGAGTGGAGAGTAGAAATAGCGATGTGTATAGTAATAGAGGATAGACTAGAAATGGCAATCGTTTAGACGTCACACTACTTTATACTTATGCGTTTCCTCTATGGTCACGTGATCTACTTAATACAATAATGGGATCGCCTGTGTTTTCTCACTGGCGATCTACGTTCAAACTCAAGTGTCGGCAGCGACACTTTATTCCTATATAACACAAATAATTATCACCTAAAAACGTCGTGATTCGGAAAAGGTTTAGAAATTACTACCTTTATACTATTGAGACAGAAATTAAGCAACGTCGTGTCTGGCCAGTATCTAGATGGGTGATCGCTCGAGAATACCAGGTAAACTTGGATATGATGGTGGTGTAATGAACAACGGCAAAGAATTGGAAACGGTAGGCCCGAGTTCCAATTCCAGTCGGGTTCGTTATATTATTTTTTTTATCAATTTATACCAAGCAAGGCAACAATGCCGCTAAGACGCAGGTGGGGGGGCTACTGCGAGTGAAAGAGAACGAGACTTTAAAAGGAACTGGAAACCTAATCCTAAATAGGTAGCAAGGGATAAACATCTACTCCTGTTCAAAAGGAGTGACTTGCAAATAACATTGGGAATGGTATAAATCCAGTTCTTTTTCGCCAGCTATTGGTTAATTAGTAGAATTTGTATCAGTAAATAATTATTATCTCCAGAAACATTCTTACAATCTAAAAATATTTTCTGGCTTTAAATAACCCGGAAAAGGTTGATAAGCCGTAACAATCAAACAAATCAATCAATATACTATTGGGACAGGTTGTGTCGACTGAGTCTCTACTAGATTTGTTCCTTATCAGTGGGAATGGTGGAATAAAAATTAAAAATTAATCCGCTTTGAAAAGAAAAAAATGGAGAAAATTGTAAAAAAAGAAAAAAACAATTCAATTATATATTTTAGTTGCGAATGAACACCGAGTTTAAAACGGAATACAAAACAGGATTGAAAAATGCCTGAAAAATAGCGACACTGAGTCATGGAAGAAAAAGTGTAGGATTGAATTTCAGTCGTATATTTTGAAATGACTAATGCTTGTTTGAAGCTGTCAGTGTATCGTGGTTGGAGGGTTAAAATTTAGTTATATTCGTACGGGTTATGTACCATGTCACACACAATTGTCGTTTCCCAGTAGACACTCTAAGGTCACTTCTTTCGTCTGCATTGCGTTTCTTGGGACGGAATAAACACAATCTGGCTTTGTTAATTGGCAGCATTTCATTTTATTGTAGTTTATTTAATTTAGATGCGTTTTCACCC